ACGATGTGATCGATTTTGGAATCATTGTTCGACGTTCAAAACAACGGGTTTTATCGACAGCGATATCAAGAGCAGCGAGAGTTGTCTTGGTTTAGGTCCTACTTATCCAATCACAAACAATTCTGTAGGGTTAATGGTGTTGATTCAAATGTCAGGAAAATAGAAGTGGGAGTCCCACAGGGTTATGCCTTGGCCCTCTTCTATTCCTTATCTATATCAATCATCTTCCACGGGCGATCCAAGAATCCTCTGTGACTATGTATGCTGATGATACCAGTCTTTGTCACCAGTCTCACGATTTGACTCAGCTGAATGAGGCTATAAATAGCAATCTCAAGAAATTGGAGACTTGGTTGCGAGGCAATAAGCTTTCATTGAATGTGGCAAAAACTTATTCAATGCTCATATCCACCACGCAGAAAGGCAGCTTTCTTAGAAGTCGAAATGAAGCCTTGGAACTGAAGATACGCGACAATGAAGTAGTTCAAAGACAAAGTACCTTGGAGTGCAAATCGATTGCTCATTAAATTGGAAATGCAGCTTCCACCAAGGTCTCCAGGGCGATCGGCTTTTTGAGACATGCTAGATTCTTTATGCCGATGGCAAGTTTGAAAACTATTTACACTGGTATTGTGGAGCCTCACTTTCGATACTGTTGTTCTGTCTGGGGTTGTGCTGGGCGAGGGGCAAATCATTCTTGAAAATGGTGAACGAGATTAATAATCACTAGTGATTAATTTGTGATTAAATCAATTTTATGTGTGATTAATTTGATTTTTAGTGATAAAAATGATTAATTTTTTTTCTCAATTTTTGATTCTTTAAAAACTGAATCATAGATTCAAAAGTGCTCTCAAATAATTTCATGCTCAATAAACGTCGTCAACGATTTTGCAACATACTATGCAACAAAAGTCATTTTTTCATACGATTTTGCAACAAAAGGTGCAAAAGTTTAATAACATTAGCAACTAAAAACAGAGCTATCTTTTCTGAACAGCAGCATATGCAAAAGATTGAATCAGTCTTATGGGTTGGTGACAGTGAAGTGAAAAACAGTGAAAAGTTGTTGATCACTTTGAATGAGACACTAAGACAGGTGCATGTGCTCTTTTCTGTTGGCCGTCAACTTTCGTCATAGAATTTGAATTTGCATCGAAAGATCTATCTTTCCTGAGCATTAGCATTAGCAGCATGGAAGCAAATAGCTTTGAATGGAAAACAGTAAACATGTGTTGAACCTTGTAAAAGACATTAAGGCAAATTAATGTTTTCTGTTCTGTGGGCTGCTACTTTCGTCATAAGAATTTGAATATGCATCAAAAAAGCTTACTTTCTTGAACAATAGCTTTAGCAACATGGGTGCAATTAGCCTGGGATGAAAAAAACAGTGAACAGTTGTTGAACACCTCGTGAAAGACATTAATACAAATGCATGTGCTCTGTTCTCTGCCCTCGCAAGTGATGTCGCTATTGGGAAATTAAACTGTCATTCCTGAAACTTTCACCGAGGGAAAAAAATTACAAGTTCCGGAAATATGGAACTTGATTATCAAACTTTATTTGGGGAAATTATAAGAATATGACATAAATCATTTCCCATAAATGTAACAGTTGCAACTGCAACAGCCGGAGCTGTCTTGATCCGCCCCTGTAGCAATCAACGAGAAATAAAGAAAAAATGACTTCTATCGGGTGTGGTTTTCGGTCAGTTCAACTTCAGTGGCATTTGGGCAACAAAAACAGCAATGGTTGTTTCATTGACCCTGGCATCATAACGAGGTTTTCATTTTTGCTCCATCACAGGGTACTCATTAAAACTTGCTGTTCTCTAGCGTGTGTTTGCAGATTTTCCAACGTATTCATGAAAAGATTGGAAATGTGTGAAAGGGAAAATCTAAATATTGAATTTTTCAATAACATATCCGGATAAAAGTAGGCAAGGATATAGGCAAGGCATATTTGCTTTAAGTAACTTTTGTGATTAATGTTGTACTTTGTGATTAATTTGATTTTTTTTTAATGTGATTATTTTGTGATTAAAGTGTGATTATTCTTGAGAGCATACGCGATTTTAAGCAGTGATTTGCCCCTTGGTGCTGGGTCTACAGACATCGACCAGTTGCAAAAACTTCAAAATCGTGCTGCTAGGATCATAACAAATAGCAGCTTTGATGCCCCGAGCAAACTACTTATTGCAGAGTTGGGCTGGAAGACCATTGAAAAGCTCATTGGCAATGAGACTAAAACAGTGATCTTCAAGTCGCTCTATGATTTGGCTCCTCCATACTTGTCTAACCTCTTCACCGAGAATTCAGCATGCTCCTCCCGCTGCCTCCGGAACACTAAGACTTATTTAAGGTAGCCAAAGAAAAGGTCAGCAAATGGTCAAAAATGCTTTTCTTTCCGGGGAGCTAAACTATTGAATAGCCTTCTTGCTGAGTCCAAGACGGCATCCTCCCTGGCTGGTTTTAAAAATAAATACAGGGTTGACTAGTTCGTTTTATACAGTATAATACCATGTAATTGTAAATAGGTTTTTAATATTATGGCTTTTTATTTTGTAGTATTTTAATTATATGTTGTAATTAGGAGGGCCCCTTGAAAAACAACTTCCGTTGAAGGGCAACCCTCCCTAAACAAATCAAATATGAAAATAACATGAACTAAATATGACACGCATAGCTAGTAACAATTACACTCAAGGAAAAACATATTATGAATTAAGAACTATAGACTATGGATAGATCATGAACTATTATTTTAACTTGGTTTGAGTAACCGCGCCCTCCCAACAAACACTGGCAAGGAACTGTCCCTCGTTAACTTTGTCCATTTTCCGTGTTTTCATTACTTTGTGATCTTTAGCTACTGCTCCATTAAATTTACGGAGGACGTAAACAAGATAATGAATAGACAATATTTGCTTAGTGTTGCAGCGTTAGTGTTGCAGGCTTTGAAATTTTGTCTTTTGGTTAAGCAGATTTGAAATTCCTGGTTTTATCTTTCTTTTAGTATATAGCAGACAGGGAATCGAACATCGTTGAACTTCTTTTGGTGAGCCTAGTGATCTTCCTAAAGTCATGAGCTCTGGGTCAGTCTCTGAACAGCTTCGTCAAAAAGGAAATAACATCTACCGTTCAATAACCGATGGCTTGGCACCAGTTTTGAAGAAGTCGCGTTTGGTGGCAGCGATAGCGAAGTATAATGAAGCACATAGCCATGCTCAAAACGCAGAAGAAAAGGCGTCTGCATTGAAGAATGTAGCAAAGGCCAGCTTTAAGTTAGTGTCCTTCCTGCCAGTGCAAACGGAGCACGAGATCGAGCTCGTGAGATATCATGCCAAAAATGCCATTGATAGCTACTCACAAAGCTACGTGTTAGGGCAAACTGTAAAACCAAGCACATGGCTTCAGGATCTTGTCGCATGTCTGCAGGATTGCTGGGTTGACCTCATCGATATAGCGGAAAGCATACCTTTTCAACGCAGAGTTTCTCTTTTGGAAGAATGCATGTATTCTGTTGGCATCGAGTCCTTAAGAGGACAATACTGTCTGCAAATCGCTGAAATAATGTTTCATGAATCTGTTCATAAACTCAATGAGAAGGATTTCAGGCAAAGCCTTTCAATAATACATAGCTGCTACCGCCCTGTGGAGGAGGCTGCGAAATCTAAGCGACACAACCCAGCTATCATGTCAGATGTGAACGTCATGAGGGAGGATCTAAGATTTCACATATGCACCGTCGAATCACTGCAAGCAATGTCCATTGGTAATGTTTCAGGTTTCCTTTTTAGATTCGTTGTCATACCTTCATTAGATTCAAAGCAGCAAATTTCCAGTCTCGGTGCGGAGGCTGGACCATGTGAAATCTTGTTTATTTGCATCACTAGAACACTAGCAAAACATGGGAAATTGAATACACATTGTATGGCTTATCGTAGGTGAAAATACAGTGGAATCCCGATATAACGAACTCTAAAGCGAGCCAGAAAATAGTTCGTTATATCGGGAGAAAACGTCTTTAGGTTTTTTCTCCGCTCACACCATAAAAACCTGCGGTGGGCTTGTATAGGCTATCTCCAACTTCTGTGCACATTTTGCTCCAAAAAGCCAAGCTGATTTTAGTCATTTAAAATGAAAATCCTTATGTTCCTCTTATAATTTGGAACCAAGAGGTTAGCAAAGCTGGTATCACTTCACTTCTAGTTGGCGGCTGAATGACGTCTTCGATTACTTCACATTCTTTTTTGTCTTCTTCTGCTTCTTCATCAGAGATTCTGGGACTCTCAATAAATGTTTGTCGTCGCTCATTGCCAATGTCTCATATGTAAAAAGGTATTCGTTATTGTCAATGTACTCATTCGCAGTGATTTTTGACGCAATCAAACT